GCTGTAGTATCTGATGGAACTGTACGATAAAAAGTAGGATAAGCTCCCCGATCAGATAGACCAGGATCTGTTGCAGAGTAGGATACAACAGGAATGGAAAGTTGTGCAGCAAAAGGTGCAATAACCTGAGTTTCTCGAGAGAATGTTGGTCCCACAATACCAACTATATTTGAAGTTGATATTAGTAGACATGAGTTGCTAAGAGCGTTCATTGTTATGCCGCCACTTGCTACTAGCTGTGAACCAATAAACTGCCCATCAATTGTTATATTATATTGCTGAGAAAGCAATATTGCTGCGTTGAACATCGCACGAGACCAAAGAGTTCCTGGACTGGAATCGTTCATAGTCAATCCATTGCCAAAAATGCCCAATAATTGTATATTGGAGGAATTAGATGCAGGCCAAGCCGTTCTCACATTTGATATAGCAAATTGACCAATTAAAAAATATACCCACAACCATCTTAAGCTCCACAAAGGTGACATCAAGACTTGTTTATATTAAAGATCTAATTGATGAATCAAATCTGAAGAAAAAGCATGAAACTATACGAATACTGAAATATATTAATTCGGAAGTGACAATTTACACTCAAATAGCTATAGTCTTATGTTTACTTCATTAGTAGTATATATACAATATCCTAACTTACGAATTAGTTTAGTTTGTTTTTCGCAACATTTAATAAAAAATAGATATGTCAATAGTGTGTATTTTTATTCTGTTAGTTAATCATAGAACGAAGAATGTTGTATTTTCTTCTTACTTAATTGACTTGTAAAATAGGAAATTAAAAAATAAGATCTTATTAAATTTAATGTAGAGAAATTACAGCAATAATATCTAACTAAAAATGATCACTTACTATTATTTGAATTAACTGTTCCTTTTTCTATAGGTCTGTACTCACTCGTAAAGCTCAATTTATCCTTAATCTCAACATAAGAGAGGAATTAACCAGCTAAAATGAGTAGGAAGTAAAGATATTTTATATATAAAACTGTAAAAAAAACTTCGTATTCTCTAAGGAATAGATAATACGTACATGTGCACATAGGTAGCTTTTTATATACCTAATGATGACACATAATTAGTCGATGATGGACGGTTGAATGCATACAGACACATGTTTTTTTTCGTTCTGCTCTTCCTCATTCAGGGTTTTTTCCTATATAACGTTTTTTTAAGCCGTTGATGGTCTTTTTTTTCGTTACCCAGGTATCTTCAACATTACTTCCTTCGCAGGTCATTGGCTATATTTTCACTTATTTGCTTGGTTTTTTCCAACTATTTGGGGATATATCCACCTAATTCATGCATACAAATGTACAAAAAGTCATGCTTACGCAAGAAATACATGTAAACACCACTAATTACATAAACTATCTTGAGGGTGTGAGCATTTGTTATTCATGTAAATCCGTCCTTGTAATGTCAGGAATAGCTTGTTTTGATTTAGCATCAAGTTTATGTAGAATGATTTTTTTTGTTGAGCTCAAACATTTCATGTTATAACGGATGATAAATTATTATTATTGCTGTTTTATCAATGAGTATTTCATTTGTGGACTATAAATGACTTTTTTCTTATGACAAAGAGCTTTGAAAAGAAATATTACAGTAAAATAAGAAAGGTTTGTTTTTTTATAAATGATATAAGATTTGATTTAGAGTTTTACCTGTTCGAAAGTAAGTAAGCAAATATAACAAGAAAGGAAAGTATAAGTTTATTGAATCTTCCTAGTAATGTCGATACAGATGCAAAATAAAATTATGAATAATTTGATCAAGGCAAAGCTATTTAAAAATATAATGATTTTTGATTATTATTTCAAATATTTGACACGTTTCTATTGTATTCGGAAATATAATTGAGATAAAACTATGGTTTTCATATATTTCTTTATTTTTAAATATTTTACTTAAAATATGGACTTCTCTAGATAGACTAAATAGAAAACTTAATAAGATTATTTTGAGAAAAGGTACTATATGTTTTATGTTGATCGACTAAATTTTATCATAGATGTTCTTGATTGAGATGACATTGTTTCACTTATATTGTATATGAATATTTTTTGTAGACATTTTTAAATGTAATTAGAACAAATGATACTAATAACTGGAATATTTCTAGTATAATAAGTTTCGATATTTCAGTTAAATGGTGCTCATTTGTGGGTGATTATATCATCTCTGAGTATTTTTGGTAAAGTTTTATCTATTTTATTTTCATTATCAAATCTTAAAAACACAACATTATGATCACCATGAGAGATGTATATGCATATTGCGTATTCTACATAAAAGTCATACATATCATATATAAACAAAATCTCATGAAAAAAAATTTTTTTATTTATTTAAGCGTAATTCGACTAATCTTGAGCATTTCTGAAAAATAATCAATAAATTTTTCAAAGTTTAAATTTATATCACGTTCTACTGCAAGTATACGAAGGTCACTTAAACGATCATCAGTCATAATACTGCGAACTATTGTCTCGATCTGTTTTATTTTCGAAAATGTATGTTCACAAGTTGCTGATGAAATCGACATGGTTACAGTACTTTTTTTTTAAATCAACAAGAATATTAAAAGCTTCTCTAAATTCATAATATAAATCAATGATATAAGTGAATAATTTGTACTGTAATATCGGCTTCGATACATTTAATCCATTAGACAAAATATACAGATTGAATTTTTAATGATTAGCAAAAAATCTCAATGTATCAAAATTTAGAAGTATATCACTGGTTGGGTATAATGATAATATGCTGAATAATATCTTTAAAGTGCTCGAGACAAATCGATCTTTTAATTCGATCAATATATTATCAATCAATTCAAAATAAATTCGATGTTGTCGATAAAATAGATTGTGATTATGTTTCTGTAGATTTGGATGAGGACCTCGATCCGTGATTGTCTAGTTTTTCTTTTTTTTTGATATAGATGATGAAAAGAAAGATTCGATAGTCCTTGTCTTGAAAATATTAGAATTCATTTATTCTTATTTGTATACTGATGAAATATAGTACTTTTTCATTTAATTTTCTATATGTCTATGAGCGACACCAGATAACGTAAGACACTGATGAGTGCTCTTAAAATCTAATAATATTAGTGAGGAAAAGATGGCGTTCGACTATCTTAAGTCTATGTTATATTAACACGATCGATAATTCAATATTTAAGACTATTCTGAATGATTTTAGTGCATTAAAAAACTCCAAAGTCAAATTGTGGGGGGGGGGGGGCTGAGCGCCTCTGTCTCCCCTAGCTTCGCTACTAGTTGATATCATTC